TTCAAAAAGAAACAGCACATAAATGAACAAGTAACCTAAAATTAACAAGGTAGCAGAATGACACAACTACCTGTGAACAAAGACATTGTTTTACAGCTGCTTGGGCTCAAGCCTTGGAATAGATACCTATTTCTCTGAGATAGCTGTAAATTAGATTTGTCTCTCAATCCTATTCCAAGTAGGAGAGCAAACAGGTAAGTAAAAGAACAGGAAGGCTGAGTGACTCGTTGAGAAGTTCACTGACACAGAGAGTGCAGTCCCAAGCACAGAGCTCAGAACTTCTGGCTCACTCTACCACTGACTCCAAAAGAAAAGCTTAACTCAAAGCAAACCACTGCCTCATCCTAAAGCATTCCAGAGGTGTCAGACTGGGGGTGCAGAACTGGAAGCTGTCTGTACCTGTGTGACCTCCTGGGTTGTTATTTCTATGGCCCGTTCTTCTTCGCTGCTGTCATCCAGTGTGGGTCTGTTCAGATGCTTATCATGAAGACTGGCTAATTCTTTCATCTTCTGTTTAACCCTGGCAATATCATATTGAATCTAAAACAGAGAGAAAAGCATGAAGAAAGGGAAACAACTCCTGTTTCAGGGGAAAAGGTTCCGACAGATGTTAGACAAAGATCACTGACAGAAATCTGTAACACCAAATGCAGATCAAAGATCGTTAAAAACCACATAAAAAGGTGACTAAGAAGCGACTGAATACTCTCATACACTTTGAGTTTGCTACTTTTTTAAACCTGCTCTTGTTAATCTTAGGCAACACTGCTGTTTTCAGATAGGCTTCATTAAGTTGGAACAATATTGTGACCATTATGTAGTATCACAGTAGAAGGATCAGTTAACTTTCAAAAACATAAAGGAAAATTCAGGTCACACCTGCAACTCTGTCAGACATTGAATGGCCTGAACTTAACAGCAGAGGTTGAAAGATATGTTTTCGAACAAGTAATTAAAAATAAATCTGCGAGGATGATGATGATTATAGTAATCAAAAGGAGACTGATCACCTTTCTGCACAGTGGGCTGTGTACACACCAACTGAGGAGCCAACGTGTGCTCTGAGAGTACATTTAGAAAGGGTTTTCTGAAAGTCAGGAAGAGCTTCATACTCCCAATACTGGAATAGGTTTTTAATTGGATGCCTCCAGAATCACTGATCCAAGTATTTCCATAGCTTGCAAGGCATCCATACTGCACAGACAGGAAAGTTCTCCTGCTAGAAGACACTAACATTGTTTTCAAACAGCAAACTGCTCATCTCCATCATTTTTGGGTCTATTCAACTGGACTCCTCAGCAGGTTCATACAAAAATTCTGCTGCAAGTGCTAATGTTTTGGTACCCTTCCAAGTTTCAAATTGAGAACAGCTTTGCTAAGAGCTTTAGGCTCTTCCTACATTCTCAAGTCTGAATGCTCAGTGACAGCACATCAACCCTAATGGTCCCAGTGTGCTGTGAACAACAGGCTCCCACTGAAGGTTCTTGCAGAATTTCTGGCCCTAAATATAAAGGGAGATAATAAATAAATAGATATAAAAGGACATATAAAGAAGGAGATCCCTTTATTATACTTGCAGCATATCCTTCAAAACGGTAAGTCACATTTTGCCTGATACTCTCCTCCAAACAAGGGTGTTGGTTCAGAAAGGACTTATTTTACTCTTACTTCTAACACACAACTGACAGCACTGAGAATGCAACTGATAACACTAATAAATCCCTGCACCAGAAGCCAAACTGTGTGTGTGTTGCCACACAACTTACTTCGTCTGCTCCATCGACCCATTTGGGAGGTAAACGTTTAGTGACTCCGATCGCTGCTTCGGGATCTAAACTTATTCCCGACACCAGTGCCATGCGGTCGTCAGCCAGCTGCAGAGGGAAGCACACAGGGATTCACCTACCTCAAATCACACCCAATCCTTGAGCATTAGGAAAAGTGCAGTTATGCCTTTAACCTCAACAACGCGTTCGCATGACAAAGGTACAACCAAGTGCCACATTCTCCTGCTTTGTCCCTAC